AAAAAAAAAAAAAAAATATAGCAGGACGGAAGGAATGAGTGACTTATAAGAGTTTGGTCTTTGTTCGTCGAGAGATTAGTCCTCCAGGACGAGGAAATATTTTGTTTGTGGCGATTTAGAGTTCAGCCCATGTAGAAATATTCGATAAAAAAATTTTCTGCTAGCCATTAAAAATTATGTGTACGGATTCTAGTTGCCGTATTGCTTGTGCTGGATACTGAAAAACATTGTTTAGAGAAGGCTACATGAATAGGTCTAGTTGAAAAAACAGAAAACAACCATATTCAAGTAGAAACGTTCTTAAACAAATAAAAAATAAAGATATTTAATGTATTCATAATTTTGAATTCGCAAAGCTGCCTACTGGAACTTTGGTCCTAACTAAATCTTTTAGTCTTCTTATATTCTTAGTCTTAATATTTTTTGAAGTATATTGTTTGTTATTAAGTTCAAAGTTATCACTCTATAATCTCACTTGACCCAATGCAATATGTAGAAATACAGCAAATGTACCATACATCATACCTCTACATCCATTTCTTGGCATGTCGTCCCCTTAGCATCTTCATTTTTAGTATGGGCCAATAAAAACTTTAAAATACCCTGTAAATACAAAGAGAAATAGGATATGATTTTAAAATATAACATGTATGATTATTATAATAAAAATAAATTTAAAATATAATATTTATAAAAATTAACATCTGCCTATAGAATGTATTTTTATAGAAGTATGCAACTGTACTTCAAATAAAACACAGAAAAATGAATAAAACGGCTTTATTAGCTTACACAGTGTCACTCAAATAAATGAAATGGGTTTAACTTGTAGAAACTTGGTACAAGTATACCTTGGCACTCTTTAATGGTACCAAAGCCAGATCGTTGCCACGCCCCCAAATTGAAAAGTTATAAAGTGTTGTACTTAAGGTACAAATTAAGCTAAACCCATTATAGTTTTTAACTTCATTACCTCTGCGAATGGTAGGCACCTTGTCGTGGTGCAGGGGCTTAAACCGCAGCACAGCACGGCATCTCCCAACCACCAGGGGTGATGCTGCATAGCATCTCTCCTGAGGGCTGGCAGACGCTACATGTGCGCGGCGACCAAGAGCTACCACCTCCTAATCCAGGGTGTTATGCGACCCGTGCCCATTGGATGATTTGCAGCCAGGAGGTAAATTCGGCTGTATTCGTACGGAGCCTTCCCAACACCGGGCCGCCTTGGGAAGTATCGGTGGCCTTACTGCGTCAAGGGGCTTTGGCGCAGCGGACTTTAGATTTCCCCTTACTAAAAATAGACCGGGAGGCTCACATTAAGGCCCAAACGGTCGTAAGAACAAGATGTCAACAACAACAAAAACAACAACAAACAACGACAATAACCAAAGCAACGGCATCCACAGCAAAGACGGCTAACAGCGGCGGAAGCGCTAGTACGACGAGCAAGAGTGGCAAAGGAGCTAAACGAAAGTTCAGCTTCCTGGATGCCTTGTCGCCGGAAGAGCGAGCACTCTTTGAGGAGCACACACGCGACGACGTGCCCTCCTGCAGCGGCACTCAGCGCAGTGGGTCAGCCGCGAACACAGCAAATCGCGCTGACGACCACGTGCCCTCCTGCAGCGGCACTCAGCGCAGCGGATCAGTCGCGAACACAGCAAATCGCGCCGACGACGACGTGCCCTCCCGCAGCGGCACTCAGCGTAGTGTGTCAACCGTGACCACAGCAAATCGCGCGAACGCCGGCCCCACAACCCCCTCGAGCAGGATTGACTGCGGAGAGGAGAGTGGTTTCACGAGAGTGGAATCAAGGGGCGAGCGTAAAAGAAAACGACAACGAGGGAACATTCCATGTACCCCGGAGCCAGGACGACCAGGAGGTCACGACGACCCACGTAGAGCGGGAATGAGCGGAGCCACTCTCAAGTGGTACCTCAGATTCCTACAGGACGGTATGACACCGGAGACAGCGGGCTCTGAGTAGGAGCAGGACGAAGCGTAGCAAAGCCGGCGCCCCAAGAGGCACCGAACCGTATGGAGAAAAGAAAAAGCGGTCATATAACTCCCCAAAAACCACCAAGGCCCAAGAGAATATGTGGAGACAGACCACAGGAAGCTAGTGGAAAGTGCTCCAACCCCAACCAGCAACCGACGAGAATCGCCAGCCGGAAGTACTCTGAGGCTGTTAAGAACTACCCAGCGGAGGCCTTAGGGTCCCAACAGCTGACGGCTCTCCAAGACTGCCTAGTTAATGCCCTATGTACTGACAAAGGCTACACTGGCGCCTTTAACGGCATTTTCTTTAAGGGCGGTATGCTGCTGGTCGACTGTCAGGAGGAGAGGTCGGCCACCTGGCTAATGGAAATCGCGCCAATGCAAGAAGTTTGGAAGGATCCAGCAATGTGTGTACGGAGAGGCGAGGAGAAACCACAACTGCATAACACGGTGGCATTCTTCCCGAGTAGCGCAGATAAAACCCACGAATTCGTGCTTAATCTGGTGGGWAACCAGAACRATGGCTTAAGCACCTCCGCGTGGAAGGTCGTAGCAGGCAGCGTTGAGGGTTCAGGGTGGAACCTCAACATGTCGATAAACGATGAATCCTATAAGTATATAAGGCGAAAGGGATTCAGGCTGAACTTCAGGTTCGGCGAAATTGTAGTGAGGCCATKAAGGCCCAAGGCAACGTCGGCGACGAGCCAAGAACCCACGAAGGGGCGAACCGTGGCACCGGCTCCACCCGTAACCCGCCCAGCAGCGCATGAGGCGACCGCCGCGGATGGAATCAGGAGCAACGAGCTCCCCAATGAGCAGGAAAAGGTTCCATCCACCCAAGAGCTTCTGGAATGGCTGGAGGTGCAGGTTGATGATAAAATCGAGGACGAGGACCTGTCGCTCATTGAACCTATACTATAGGCTCCAGTGCCGGCATGGAAGTGGCTCAGGTGAACCTACATCACGCATCGGCAGCCTCGGCTGTCATCGTGAAGAGGTTCATCTCGGATAACCTGAGCATTCTCCTAATCCAGGAACCTTGGGTGGTTAGAGGAGAGGTAAGAGGATTCAACTCGAGAAGGAGCAAGGTAATCTGGAATCTCTCTAGCGAGAGACCCCGTTCTTATGTAGTCGTTAAAGCCGATATAGACTGTTTCTGTATTTCAGAGTTTCTAACGCAAGATCTGGTGGCGGTACAAGTGAAGGACAAGGAAGGATCGGACTTCGTCCTCGCATCCGCATACTTTCCGGGAGAAATGACCACAGCACCCCCTCCATCAATACTCAGTCTAGTGGAATACTGCAGACGCAACAATCTTCCCCTAACGTTAGGGTGATGCCAACGCGCATCACACGGAATGGGGTAGCACGGACTGCAACGTGAGAGGTGAGTCACTTCTTGAATTCATAATTAGTAACAATATGAGCATCGAGAATGTGGGTTGTGAGCCCACCTTCGTAACCAGTGTTCGCAGGGAGGTCCTAGACATTGCCCTGAGCAACGACAACATGATCGGGCTGATCTCACAGTGGCGGGTGTCAAAGGAGCCCTCACTGTCAGATCACWGGATCATTCGGTTTGCTCTGAGGGTAAAAATCGCGGACTAACCTCCGACACATACCCCTAGAAATACGAACTGGGGTATCTTCAGGGAGACCTTAAGTCATAATATAAATGGAGTGGGGCAGGCGGATGATAGATCCACCACAGTTGGACTGGAAAGCAGACTGAGTGCCATAGACCAGTCCATGGACGCCTATCACTATGCCGGTCCACTAAAAGCGACCACCTGCAAACAAATCTGCCCCTGGTGGTCTAGTAAACTCTCAGCTCTTAGACTTAGGGTGCGTAGGTTGTTTAACAAAGCCAAGCGCACAGACAGCTGGGAGGATTACAAACGGCACCTAACATTCTATAACAAGGAGATTAGGCTTGCCAAGACAAACAGTTTCAGGAAATTCTGTGATAGCGTCTCCTCGACCCCGGAGGTAGCTCGTCTGCATAAGGCGTTGTCGAAGGGCAAGACGGACACAGTATTATCCCTAAAAAGAAACGACGGGACCTATACAAGCGCGGAGGAAAGGGCGGAAACACTAATACAAACGCACTTCCCGGGGACGGTTCAAGCTGACCTAAATCCAGCCTCGGTCATACGTAGGCCAGATCGCTCAGATTGGCTGACTACAAGAAACCTGTTCACTGCAGACTCAGTCAAATGGGCACTGGCCTCCTTTTCAAGCTTTAAGTCACCGGGAGTGGACGGCTCCCGGCTCTCTTGCAGCAAGGCATGGATATTCTCCTACTACACCTGCTAAGGCTGATGAGAGACAGCCTGGCGATGTCGTATATTCCTGAGCCATGGAGAACTGCAAAAGTAATTTTCATCCCTAAGGTATTGAGGAGAGACTATTCACTAGCCAAATCGTTCCGGCCTATAAGTCTAGGAGAGGGCAGATCCACAAACACTGCTCTGTACCAACTCACGTCTGAGCTGCAGGATTCGCTGAATGACGGCGAGGTTGCGATCTGCGCCTTCCTAGACATTGAGGGTGCCTTTGATAATGCATCTCACACTAGCGTTATCAAGGCACTTGAGAGAAGGAACGTGCCCACCCCGATACGCAGATGGATAGAAGCCCTTCTGCGCACTAGSGTAGCAGAAACAACAGTGGAGAAAGTAGGATTCGTCTTGACACCACAAGGGGTTGCCCACAAGGTGGAGGTCAAATTCCTGGGCCTCACCTTAGACTCATCATTAGGGTGGAGTAGGCATTTGGACCTAACGCTGTCCAAAGCAACTAGAGGACTTATGATTTGTAGAAGCCTGGCCGGCAGATCATGAGGATGCAAGCCAAGTATCATTAGATGGCTGTATACCAAGGTAGTAAGGCCTATCGTCACCTATGGAACGGCTGCCTGCTACCAAAGCAGCGCAGTCTTCAGTGATTCGGAGACTGTCAAAGCTGCAAAGACTAGCATGTGTCTGTGCTTAAGGCCCTGGATTCTGCTTACATCAGCAGGGATCACATGACCTCACTAGCGCCCGGCAAACTCCTAGAACTATTCGGGCTGCTGGGGTTCTGGGAGGTCATGTGATATAGGAGAGGGCACAATAGACCTTAGGTCGCGGTGCATTACCTCAAATAATATTCTATTCTATTCTAACTTCATTAAGTTGAATTGAAGTTGAAGCAATTTAAATTCAGATCAACCCAACTCTAATTTAGCATTACGAATTTCAACTGAACATAACAAGTAAGTATTTACCAGATAATTAAATAGACAAAAATTTAAAAATAAAAAGGCAAAAGGCACATGAGTTCAATTTATTATGCGATGACCTAAATTTGTAACCCAAGTAAGCAGATTGTTTATTGACAATTAAATTTCTTTTAAATAATGTTTGTTACAAATTCATACGCTATTTTCTTTAAGCAAAAACTTTATGCCCCAAATACATAAATGGAAAACGAAATAAATCTTTAGCAATTTTTTATAAAAGAAAAAAAGGTGCAGAAAGGAGTTCTACGCGAAAGAACGCGTGATCTGGGAATGTCTCCTTTCCAGTGATACCCATTTTATCCCCGAAGTCCGGGGATGCTATTCT